GGGGTGTGCTGCAGTCACTATTTAAAGAATTACAAAATAAAATGAGTGTGAGAAAACACAGCATGGGGTTTTAGTTAGATTTCAGGAATGTTTTATAAATACTTTCTTTAATTTTACATTTTGCTTCAGAAAAATATACTGAGATAAATTCTGCTTCCACTTGCATCAGTGGGAATCATGTTTCTTCAACAGAATTGCTATTGATTCTCTCTGATGTTGTTGAGAATAGGGTTTGTCCTAACACCTGGGTTTCTCTCTCTTGGCTTTTGAAATAAAATGCTTTATGCACACAGGGAACAACTATATTCTTTTAGTGTGGACTGTTTAATTTTAGTTTAAGAATAAAACACCTAAGGGTAAAAGCCCTTTTCAGAGCGTAGAGTGAATGTGGGTGTTCGTGTATGTGTGCCCTGTAACACACTCCAGCTGCTCATCCTACAAAACCACTGCCAACCCCATTTCACTTCCTTTCTACCTGATCTGTTACAAAAAGACAAATGCCTTCAAACTGCAAAGGCATGGCATGGAGAAAGCAAAGGCCTGACAATTTGGCCACCGGACAAATTCTGCTTCTTGAATGGAGGGAAACAAAAGGTAAAACATACCTGCTAGAATGTCAGACCTCAGACCCATTCCTGAGGTCCCTTCAAAGGAAAGGTTTGGAATGAGTTGAAAGTAGAAGCTGAGGAAAGCTTAGGGCATGCTCCTGTCCGATTGTAGTTGCTCTCAGGGCTAAAAGGTTGGGATTGGCAGGATATAGCCAATGTTTGAGTAAAATATATCTGGATTTGCAGGGCTTGTAGAGCTTGGATAGAAAGGTGCCTATAAGTCCTCTGTCACAGATGAAGAACCTGGTTTGCAAAAAGGTGAAATAAAAAGTTTCCCAAAGCGAGCCAATGCTTCAGGGCAATCAATAAATTGCTGATCTCCTGTTCCAGGCTTTTGTGTAATTTTGTAATGTTCAAAATGTTTGGTAATAGTGCATATAACAGACTGTTTCCAGGAGCCTGTGTAGAATACACAGGTCAAGGAGAAGCCTTGTGCAATGTTTTTTTCAGTACTTTGTGCTTTTTTTTGGTCTTATAATTCATCTGCAACCATTCCGTTATGTGATCATAATTATATTTCTAAAGTCTTAGGGACATTATGGCAGAAGTTTATCTCCAGAAGGACTCTAAGCACCAAAATGGTAATGTGGCTTTTGAGGGCAGCAATTTTATGGTACAAACCAGCACAAGACAAATTCTTGAAAAACTTTAAATATCCTTTTTGGCACAGTAGCCTTAAAGAAAGAAGAAGAAAAGTGAAATAGACTAAATGCTGAGTTTTCTTCATTATTTATAAATAAAATGGTTCTCAGTTTTCCAAGACCTTATGCCAACATTTGATGTTACTTGGAAGTTTCAAAAAAAAAAAAATTAATGGTCACCTTTTCGTGGAAAGTTTTTGGGGCAGCCAGTGAATACCAATATAGAGAAGAAAAAAATTGCACTGTCTATTAAAATTCTCTTGAGCTGTTTYGGATCATGTAACTTGTTTGCTCTGTGTGGATCTATATTCAACTTTTTCCTTGCTGTATAGTYAGGATTTTTTTTTCTATAACTACAAAATAAACTTTATAGGTAGTGGCTCAAAGGTAAATCTTTCTTTGTCACATATTTTCTGGTCTAGTTAATACCTTTGTTTGATTATGTGGAAAGAAAATCCGCCAGCTGAATGTGTGCAGAAAGGAATGAAAGGTCATGTCCATCATGAAGTGTTAAACCTTAATGGTAAAGCTTGTCTTTCAGATTTAGAAGGAAGGTAGGTCTTGGTAAAAGCTGTTTTTAATGAAGTGCTGTAGTGCAGGAAACTGAAATTGAAAAAATGTTGAAAATAAATTGTGGATTTGCCCCTCATGTCTGTGGTCACTGTTCTTGGCGGTAGGATTTTCTCTGTGCTTTGCTTTACTTTTTAAWTTTTTTTTTGTTCTGCCAGGAACGCATCAACTAATTGTTAATTTTTGTCATAGTGTCTGGTGCCCTGGAGATAYAAAATATAATGGATGAACTGTATTTTGAACTGTGTGCGCGCAGTTTGGCTTCAGTAGCCCTACTTTTAGCTTTTCATGTTGTATTGTTTTATCCTGGTAACAAAACCATTTTTATAACAAGTTCCTACTGAGTCTAAACAAGYGTGTCAGAAGCTGTGCTTCTGCAAAACTTGTGTTAGGTAGTCACAGCTCAAGAGTTGTCTGAAGAGAGCTGGAATAGGCTGTCCATCAGGCTCGTGAGGTTTTTTTAGACAAGTGTTTGTATTTCTTGATTGCAACAGGGTATTACACTGGTTTTAGAAGGGCTGTCTTCTCTGGCTCTGAGAGGGGCTGGCTCTTGGCATGGAGAAGGCACCAGTTTGCTCATTTCCCTCTTCATCAGACTAAAGGCCACTGGCATTTTGCAGTCCTCTGYTTCCAGAACCTTATCTCTTTCCCATTTTCCCTCTTATCACTAGCTCTTTAAATAGGTCTTTTCCTTCGAGCCCTGGGAAAGGAAATGATGAAAGGCCCTATCTCCTTTTCCTCTACGGAGAAATCAGAAACATTTTTGCATTCTGCAGAGATTAATTGAACATCCCACCATCCTTCTCCCCACTTGCAAGTTTTTACCTTTGCCTCATTAAGCCTGTAGGGCTTGAAGGTATGCAGCTTTCACTCTGCTGAACACCTCTTAATCCCTTCCTCTTCTGTGATGGTGGTGATTTGTTCCATCAGACAAGGGACAGCTCTTCATCTTCCCTGCTCATGCTTTGCTTTCACCAAGGTGGACTCTTCTCAGAGCAGCCACAGTTTGCCACAGGAGTTTGATGTATTGATGGCAGTTAAAAAGCAACATGAGAGGTTGTCCAGGAGGTTGTTTATAGGGTAACACTTTGCAAAATCACAGTATCAGTAGCCAGGTTACCTGGTCACTATATATTATTGGAGTCTTTGAGGAAAAATTAATCCCATGTTCTTTGCTAATTGCTGTGCTGGTAAAGATAATTATATGGTTGCCAGCAAAAGGTTCAGTAAAACAGTGTTGGGGAGATCACTTACTTCATATGTCAAAGAAGTGGTTAAAACTATGCCAGCGATGCTTTTACCTGAAATCAATCTTTGTTAACTGAAACTTCACATATATTTGGGCTAGCATGAGAGAAGAAACTTTGGTTATTTTCAAATGGCATCTGAGTTCATGCATCTGCTGGGAGCAGCAATCCACTTACCTCATGTTCCAGTGAAAAAAGAAAGATGATATTGATATCTTTAAAAAACGTACCTCCAAAGAATAACAGTATGAATTTCATGAAACTTGCTGTGCAACGTAACTTAGCACAGTCTAAAATTTACTATTCTAATTAGAGAAAAATCAAGATGCTTACTGTTTCAGTGCTAAACTTCAAGTAGTTGAACTACAGTTCATGACCTCCTCATCTACAGGACTGTTTGCTTTCCATTCCTAAAACAATGTTGTAGTCTGTCACCAGGGGACTTGGTGTTAGAAAGAAAATGTGAAGAAACAAAAGGGTACTGAAGATACAAGGAAGGAACTTGTGAKGAGTAAGCTTTGAAATGTAGGGTAAAGCAGGAATCAGAAAGGCCTCTCCGAGAAATTGAAATATAGGGGAATTTTAAGAAAAAGGTCTTTTGATACCAGGAGGCAGGATTAAATCCAGGAGAGGGATCCAAAGTGGYCATTAAGAGGAGAGGTTTCTTTCATATTGCTGAGATTTGTTGATGTGAATGTATTAAAGTTAGGGTAACAGCCCTGGGGGACTGAGTCCTCTGTCCAGTAAGCAGATGTGTGATGTAGTAACAGGAACAGAATTGTCCTGTGACCCTTTGGTATACCTCAGGGTATATTTGCRTAGAAGATGGCCATTTAGTTTCTGTTGTTGTTTCTTCCTTCATTTTTCTATTCATACTATCAGCAAAGCTTTGCCAGTTTTATGGTATGGATGACTAGCAAGTGTAYTGACTTCCTATATGATACCTTTTAGTTCTGCCTGTCTGGACCAGTTTTGGATCTGTTCAGTACACATCATATTCCTTCATAATTGTTGACACCAGCATACTGTGCCTCCCCTTACTGAATTTGAAGATGCATTCCTATTAATTGTACACAGCTGAGAATTTCTGGCACTGTTTAAATCAGTAGTATTAAATGCATATTTCTAATCTGAATATACTCTGCGGGGGGGGGGGGGGGGGGGGGTTGATTTACAACCTAAGGTCATTGAATATGATTATTACTTGGAACTACATGAGGGGAGCTGCAGAAGGAAGTTGTGGCTACTGAAAGAGGCTTTGCCTGCTCTTCCCTTCCAGTACTGACTGGTGGAAAGTTTTGGGAAAACACTATGGATGACTGCTTTATTGGTAAGGCACTGCTTGGGGTGYGATGGAGAAAAATAAGACTGGCTGCTCCTGTCTTTTGGGTACTTTAGCAATTAGCTTCCCTCAGGTTGTCAAAGCCAGCAAATTACATTTCCGCTCTCTTCGAGTTCCATCCATCTTATAATTGTGTTCTGTCTTCTGGATCCCACAGTTATTTGTTTTGGGTTGAGGATTGTTTGTTTCCCAAAAAGAATAACAGCCTAAAAGAGGTGTTGAGATACAGTCTGTGGCTGCATTTTATATATAACAAGTGACTAGTAATAATCAGTAGARATGTTGCTCAAATAACTCTCCACATCTCCCGATTTTTGTTGCCTGGTTTCTCACCTGTCTTCTGTGATGTTTTGCGGGAACAAATGAGTCACTGTCTTCAGGTGAATGCTGTGAAGAACAGTGTGAAAGACAGTGTTTGCACTGAAGCAGAACCAATGAAATGTGTCCTGACAAAGATCAAAATGACACTTCTGTGTATTCTTCAGTGCCATCTACCGGCAAAATTACCCATTAGAGATTTATAGGCCAAGAGCATTCTAGGCTAAGCAGCAGCAATTTACAAACACTTGTTTCTTTTCTTCTTTTATTTTAGGAGCAAGGCAAGATCGGTGTAGTCTTCAATATTGGCACAGTGGACATCTCCATTAAAGAGGAAAGCACACCTGTAAATGATGGCAAATACCATGTAGTACGCTTTACCAGGAATGGTGGCAATGCAACACTTCAGGTTGACAGCTGGCCAGTGAATGAACACTACCCCACAGGTACATATTACTTTTCTTTTTGTTTTTCTCTTTCAGTGTATCTGTACCTACAATCTAATGTTTAATAACAGCTGGTTGCTATATAAATCTCTGTTGCTTCATCTTGACAACAAATTCACCAGCCTGGTGATGCATGTTCTGTCTCTTGGAAAACAAACTGGTAGTTCTTTACACTGGAAGAATGAGCATGCCAACTGTGTGGTACAATGCACATAGACTGTGCTATTTCAGAGGTCTCTAAGTGAATCCTGGTTCTACACGGAATTACAAACTCATTCAGTGACAAACTGGGTTTTGCTACTTGTGATATTTTCTAAATATTCAGGGGTGAAAAGTTTTAAGACTTTATGAAAAGGAGCGGTGGTTTTAGCCACACCCCAGATACTGTCTACATCGATAAAAAGTAGAAATGTAAGGAATGTGGAAGGATAAGCAAATGTTTGAGCAGAACTTATGCTTGCCTCATAATTTTTGATCATCTGAATTTCACTTCTTCTCTTAGGTTTGTAGATACAAAGGTTGGCACATCATCTAACCAAAACTGACAACTCCTTGCAGACTTTTAAGTCAAAATGCAGCAGAACAATTCAGTATCTTTGTAAATTTTCACCCTAAATCCACCAGAAATAGGGAATAACTGGCTGTTGATACACTGTCACATGTTTTATCCCACCACTGGCAAATCACAACCTCATGATATTTTATGTCACCATGGTAAAAGATCAAACTTACTCCAAGTGGAAAGCATTGTTGTATGTGATGCTGACAGTGCATAAGATAGCTGAGGGTAGATGATGTGTGTGGTTTTCAAAGGAAGGATGAGCAMAAGAAAAGAACTCCGGTGTTAATCACATTCCTCTTATTCACATGTTGTTGCCTAAGATCCAGCCGTCATCTTGGTTTCCARTATTAAGCCTAAGCAGCATTCAGTTCTTCATTTCTGTTGTACAGTAGTAACTCAGGACAGAAGGAAGAATTCTTGCTAGTTGTGTAGGAATTCTTTGAAAGAAACTTAAACTCACATTATAGGAAATACCCTAACTTGAGGTTTTATACTAATTCATGAGACTTTATGCTAATAAATTACTCCAGGGGAATGACTTCATCTCTTCTATTCCCTCAGAAAGTGCAGAGAGAAGTTTTTTGATGTGATTCACCTATGCTGTGACACTCTTTACCTCATATGTCTGTCCCTTTGTCAGTGTTTTGGTGAGGTATATGCAAAAGGATACATTTCAATTATTAACCTTATTTCTGTGAAAAAATTCTGTTTTGAAGGATGCCATGACAGAYATGCTGAGTGAGATTCTAGCTCTGCTATCCATTGGTTTGATTGGAAAGTGGGATAGGAAAGGCCCAGCTGAGGATCTTTCTTCCACTCTTTTCATCAATTATTTTTTAAAATACCTCCAATCCAGTTGGCAGCCAATTACAGTCACTACAAACCCTATGAATAAATTTTCTTCTTATAGTGCTTKCTGTAGTAAGTCTCTGGTGTAAAGAAACAAAATATTCAGCTCAGTGCTTTGGAGTTGTTTTGKTTTTTTTTTTTTTTAAGAGAAAAWAAATCACACTTGGGGACTACCTCAGTACCCTGGGCTTCTGCCTTGGCTAAAGATATTTCTCTGTTTTCATTAGACGATGTATATGGTTTTATAGAATCAGCATTAATCTTATACTCTAGGCTAGTATTGAGTGTATGCTGTTGTACCCTAAGGAAAAAGGGCACCTTTATCTTCTAGACACCATTTCTTTTCTGTGCCTGTATTTCAATTTCTGTCTGTTTGTGGATGATGAATTTTTCAACCTGTCCCTATGAAAACAAGGCTTATAGGATCATAGTTTGTGTGTGTGCAGCTTTCTCACTTATTTTGTGTCCTATTTCTTTCAAACTGATGTTTTAGCCAATTTTTTTAAAAGTTGGGCAAAAATCAAAAACCTAAAGATATTACATTGCTATGGGGAAAAAACCCCAAACAGAAAAAACAAAAAAACCCAAAAACTTCTCCCCAATAAACAAACAAAAAAAAAAATTAAGGGAGGAGGGCAATGTTCCAGCCTCCCAGTGGAAAGAACTGTGGCTTGATCTTAATTCATGTTAAATACCAGAATATCCATAAAACAGAGAGCAACATTATGAATGCCTAAGATTCAGAAAAGATTCAATGAACCAATAATTACAGGAAACCAATCCTTATTAGTCCCATTTTCTGGGCAGTCAATGGTTTAAAAAAAAAAAAAAGAGACTAAACAGGAGCTTTTGAAATTAATTATTTGTTGTCTTTCACAAACCAAACTTGCACTATTGTTTTTTGAACTGACTGCAAGACCAAACCTGTGTTCAGCATAGATTCAACTCAGTAAAAGGCTTTGTGGATGGATGGACCCAGACTAATCCATTGKGTTTTAACTGGAACCTGCTGAGAATTTTAATTCCTATCAAACTTGTGTGGTAGCAGCTGGGTAATCTCCTATATTTTGCATAGGATCATGTCAGTTCTGGAAACAGTTATTCGTAGTGTTTAAAAAACATTTTATTGGTAGCCCATGCATGCTTGGGCACACCGTGTTATCTGTAAAATGAACAATTTCATGTGTGCTTGGTTTTTCACAGAGTGCTACAGCCTAATGTTTGCAAATCTTATAAGCTGTCTAATGTACCTTTGTCATTGCACAYGGTCCAATCACACAATCTTCATTCAGGGCTGCATTCTGAAAGGCATTTCCATGCTCCTCTCTGAGTTTTATTACTTGTTGGAAGGTTTATACATTAGGCTCATAATTACTTGCTCAATGAAAAGTACAAATAAAAGTTGGATATACATTAAATGAGCAAAGTGAGAGAATATTGGCTTTCCTTAAAATACAGTCTTTAGTTAAATTGAAATTAACTGAAACTAGCCCAATGGGACCAAAATGCTCCAAAGCTGTATTTTTGCAACTTCAAATAAAAGACAAGGAAAATGGAATAGCAACAAACTTAGAATTCAGGCACTGACATTTTGTATTTTATAGCATCCAATTGTGTTTCAGTCACATGCAACATGAGCTTTTATGCATTCTTGTAAAGAAAAGGGTTGGAGAGAAATGGTAAAGGAGGGARGTAATTTGGAGCTAAGGCTGGCCAAACTTTGTGACTGAAGCAATCCAAATCACTAGGGATGATCTCTCCTCTTTACTACCATTGCAACGTGCCAGAGTTTCTCTGACTGGACAGTAAGACTGAACAGTGGCCCAGTGTAGGTATCTGAGATGAAACTCCCGAGAACTGGGAGATGTCAAAGAGTAGCGTTAGTACAGGGGCTGCTATSTGCAATTCAGCTGTCATGGTTCAGCCAAACACAGCTGTTTGTGATTTATTTGCATTAGTTTTGCCCTTTCTTCTCTCTCTCAAGAACAAAATAAGGAGATGGGCTTTTCCCACAGGCTGTACTTATAGCCAATTTATTCRTGCTTGATTCATTAACTTGTTTATCACAGTGCAATAGAATGTWTCTCAGTCAGGATATAAAATTGTTGCTGCAGACTGAAGTTTCCCATGACTGCCTCCCTTCTGTTGTCTCACATGCTTCCATCTTTTTGTGTACATCCAGAAAACAGTTCTGCTTGGTCACTGTTATCTTCCTGCTTTTATGTTCTTGRTGAGAGCTTTATTTATATCTAAGTAAATACTTAAGTGATGAAATTGGAGTAATGTTAGACCTCTTCAGGAAGAGGAAGCATCTAACTTGTTTCTGTTTCAATTAAAATGAAACCCATCAAATTTGAGACAGTTTACAGAAATTCTCAGAATAGTTAAAAATAAATGTTCWATCTTTACACAGAACAGGGATACTTCCCTGTTTTCAGTCCCTAAGTTTTCATTAATTCATAGACAGGAGGTTTTTTTTTACTCTGTTCGCTGTATTTCCTTGCAGAGAAATACTCTGTGTGTTGCCAGATTTGTGGTGTGCATCAAAATAAGCCTGATATTCCAGTTCATTCATCCAAGCACCAACTACATTTTCTGCTGCAGAAAAAAAAAAAAAACCAAACCAAAAAAAACTAGGTGAAGAGAAGCTGTAAAGTAAGAGTATATGTGAAACAAAAATAAAATCTAATTGAAGTAATGGTTTAAGGGAGAAGATTAAAGGAAGGAGAGCAACAGGTAGAAAAGAGCTGTCATTTAAAGAAATGCACGATTTAATAAGACAGCTGTAACCTGGATTTTTTAAATGCATTTTAGAAATAAGAAATAAGACAGCATTAAACTGGATTCTTACCAGGATTCATTATTTCATCCACACAATAAATATCTTCTATTTTTCCCCTTTATCATTCTCAAGTGATCTCTCAGTCTTCTTGTAGTAGTCTTTGCCCTTTCAAATTACATTATTCTGCAAGGGTTTTGCTACTGAATAAAAGAAAAAAATATTTCATCCTCTATGCCCCTACTTCATTCGCTCTCTGAAGTACTTTTCTGAGAGGAAGTTGTATTTTTGGAAAAGCTGGACAGCTAGCTCTTGGCAGTAGAACTGACTGCTCTGGCAGCTAGCGTGGCCAGATAAGTGCATWACTATAAAACAAGAAGTTGATTCTGAGATTCTGTGCTGGAGTTTTCTTTCAGAGTAATTCCTGTTCCAAGGATTCCAGTTCAGAACCCTGAACACATAGGCATATCTTTTTGTTTAATTTCATTTGAAGCAATCTAATTTGAGCCACATCTTTGTTAGTCTATATGAGACAAAGTCTTTGTCTAAAATAATAAGCTTTCTAGAAACAGGTCATAGTAATAGTGGTTTAGATTCTCCTACTATCTAAAGTGTGAAAGGCATCAACTTTGTCTCGCTAAAATATATTTCTTTATTTACTTGGTGGAAAGATCTGAAATAGCTTGATTTGTACCACACACTTGATGTAAGGGCAGAAAACTGGCTGAGTTTTACTTGCTTCTTTCAATAAGTTTTTTAGCAAACTGGAGGAATATTGAAGGAGCTGGTGGATATTATGGTAGGACCCCT